GCGCGTCCCGGGCGCTTACCTTCGGTCCAGCCAGGGCGAGCGCCTGTGTGGGCTGCGACCCGGCAGACGGCCTCTGGTGGGCCCGGGGCACGTCCTGGGAGACAGGCGGGGCAGGTGAGCCCGGCCGCGCTCAGCACTGCCCCGGAGCCGGTTCCCGCCTCTGGGACTGGCTGGCAAGGGGCAGTTCTGCTCTAAACTGACCGCGCCACGATGCCTGGTGAGCCGAGGCACCGGCGGTGACGCTAGAGACCAGCTGGGTCTGAGCCTGGACAGGGGCCTCCCGGCCGGCCGGGAGCAGGCCGGGGCTGGCGTCCACCAGCGGCAGGCCGGCAGCCCAGGGCGACGACGGCCTTACCTCCTGCAGTCCTGTGCTTGCAGCCGCAACTGGGGACACCTCTGGCTTTGGGGCTTGTGTGTCCTGCTCGCTGGCTGCGCTGGTCTGTGAGAACAAGAGCGGAGAAGCCAGTGAGCGTGCCCACTGAGGCCTGCATGCGGGGGGGTGGGGGCGCTGGGGCGGGGCGCGGGGCCACAGCCCAGGCAGCGGTGCCTCCGGGCAGCCCGTCACGACTGTGCTCATGGCGCTGTCCTGCCCCGAGGCGGAGGGAGCCCGGGCGCCAGCGGGCGGTCAGCAGCAGAGGCGGCCACCGCCTCCCTCTCCGCCCTACCCACTCCCACACCCACAGCCTGACGCCCTGGCAGGAAGCACGAGTCAGAAGTCACTTCATCTATACCCGGTGGCCTGCTGGTGCTCAGCCCCACCTCAGAGACCAAGAAGAAGCAGCCTGACGCCAAACGGCCTGTGCCCTTCACCACGGAGTCGCGCTTCCCTGAAATGTCGCTGCGCGGGGGCGCGAGGCCCCAGCAGCTCCCGACCCCCAGGCGCCTTCACCACCTGAACAAGCCAAAGCTCGCGGGCTGGTCTGGCTCCAGCCGCTCCCACAGGCCTGAAGGGCCTGGTCCTCGCAGGACCTCGCCGGCCGAGCTGTGTCCCCGCACCGGCTGGCAGGACCCAAGGGCCCACGCGGGTGGCCGGGGAGCTCGCGTTCCGCCCAAGAGCCGCCCTCGCGGGGAGCGCACTCGGGAAGCGGCAGGCGGGTGCGGGCTGCGCCGGGCCACCTCGCCAAGACGCCCACGAGTCAGAACGGTCTTCAGGGAGCAGGCGCAGGAGGTTACTAAGCCGCCCCACTGCAGCCACAAACAGCCCCTCCAGGTTTGTTTAGTCGGTTAATGAACGAACGGATGCGATTAAGGCAGCGGACGGCCGGGCTGGGGTGGCTCCGGCCGAGGGGAGGTGGGGAGCGGGCCCCACAGGACTTACTTCTTCCCAGAGGCTAGTAGAGAGGAGGTGGAGGAGACAGAGTCCTCGGTGTGACAGACAGAGGAACAGAAACCATCATTTTCTGCCCAGTAACAACGTGCATGAAACACATTGCTTCAATCGCCGTGTTTAATATGGGACAAGGTAGCGAAGCTTCTAGAAGATGCAGCGCACGTCTGGAAAGGCTAACAGACACAGGTTCTGACCGCGAATTCTTCTCTGTCCGCCCCGCGCCCCAGGGCACTGCGAGGGCGGATGAGCCCCGGAGGCAGCGGCCCGCGGGGCGGCCCAAGGCACGCCTCTGGCCCCGCACAGCCGCCGCTGCCTCCCGCGAGGAGACCCCACTCGGAGCCCAGGCGGCGGACACTGCGCCTCTCCTGGAAGCCCCCCGGAGCAGGCTCTGGCTCCGGCGCCCAAGCCCTCTGGGGCGAGGCCCAACCACAGCGCACGGCGCTGCACAGCTCTGGGCGCGAGGAGGAAGCGCCTGCGACGGCCGCAGGACGCCTGCTTCTCCGAGCAGGGCTGCGGGGAAGACGAGGCCGCCAGCGCGGCTGAAGAGGACCCCGATGGGCCGGGCACAGGGTGCCCCGACGCCAGTGACACAGCCCAGCCTGGGCTCGCCCAGCTGCTGGACAGACAGCGCTGCCCCTCCGGAGATGGATACCGGGCGGCAGGGCCCTTCTAAAGGCCTGCTCGATGGCACGGTGGACTCGGCGTGACCGGCCTGCAGGTGGGCTGGGTGGGACGCGCGTCCCACTGAGAACAGCGGCAGACGAACCACAAGACGCAGGCTACAGAAGCATCGATGTCGTGTCACTGGGGCGAGGAGGGCCCTGCCGCAGGCCGGACAGCCCCGGGCGGAGGACCTCAGCTCCGAGCAGACGACACAGTGGAGCTCAGGAGAGAACCTCGGGGCTGCTGCCGCCTGCAAATCCACTTTCAAATGGCTCGGGGCTAGGGCGTCTGCCCGGCCAGGGCCAGAGCGCACACCAGCCCCTGCGGCTGCCCCTCAGCTTCCGGCAGGCTTCAAGCCTTCTCGTAGCAAGCTGGAACCAAGCAAGACACAGCCCAGCCCCTCGGAGGCCCGCTGACGAGTAAGCACCGCCCTTCCTGCCTGCCCGGGAGAAGGGCGGGCGCCGCTGGCGCTCGGGAAGCTGCGCCACACGAGCAGGCTGCACGCGGGGCTTCCCGGCGGCGGGGCCTGCAGGTGAGGGGGGCTTCCCGGCGGCGGGGCCTGCAGGTGAGGGCTGCCGTCAGCACCGCCTGAGGCTGCCCTGGGCGCCAGCGAGGGCCGCCGAGGGCACCCCGGCCACCACCGGCCTGTGGCCGCCCGGAGGCCCCAGACAGCAGCGACCGGCTGATCTCTGCAGTGAGGCCATGCACAGACGTGCTGCCGGGCACTTTATGGACCAACTTCCCTGAACTTAAGCCACTCTCGGAGACAGTGCACATTCCTCCTGCCTGTCCACTTAACCTCCGGTCAGTTATGAGCCCAGCGAGGCACAGAAAGGTTGTGGGACAATGGCGGGCATTGGGGGCCCACAGAGAGGGAACCACCACTTACCCTGAAAGGCAGGTCATGTGCAAGAGGTGCAGAGTTGAAATACTCAAAAATGGAGTCCTGGAAGTCTGACAGCTTGAGTCCTGGGGAGAACAGAGGCGTCAGGCGGTCTGGACTCCAGCCCAGGTGCAGGGCGTGCACTCCTGGGGTGTCACTGCCTCCTGCGTGAACCGGTCAGGCCGAGGGGACCCCGTGCTGCCAAGTGAACTCGAATGCCCCGTGACAGCCGGACGGTCTGGCTGCCGACACGGGCTGGGGAGAGCCCAGAAGCAGAGCCAGAGCCCTGTGTGTCACCAGGAAGGAGCCAGCGGAGCCAGCGGGGCAGGAGCTCGGCACCAGCACCGGCTGCTGCAGCGGACCCGGACCCGGACCCGGACCTGGACCTGCTGGCAGCAGGCACGGGAGCCCCAGGGCCAGCGCTGAGCCCAGGGCACAGGCGTGCCTCAAGAAGACCCCGGGGCCCACCTGGCCAGCTGCGTGCTGGCTGTGCCTCTGGGCTCAGGAGCAGACTAATACCCTGACTCCCAGACTTTAAAAAGCAACATGCAGAGGGAAAACGGCCTGAGGCGGCAGCCGCTACTGCTAGGCAGCCTTTTGTCCCAGCCCTGCTACAACCCTGGAGATAAACTGAGACAATTCAGCTAGGGAGG